TGACTTTTAGGATTGACCTTTTTTTAATTAATCCTGTGGAAACAACGCAATCTATTGTAAAATTAAAAAGAAACGGTGCCTCTGTCCTGTTTCCTGGGCGCCCCAGATCGTAAATTCGATTTTCTTTGTCGGAATATCTTCTGTTTAATTTTTCATAGCCTTGAAATTTAATGCTTTTTTTAGCAAAAATCCACGATTTCAAATATTAAAAATAACACACAGCCGTTTTTTACGGTTCTTGGAACCGAATATATATTGGTTCATTCACACATAAACAACAGCGATAACTAACGGCTGCTCATAAATAACGTTAACGCGTTACCTGTACTCATGAATTATTTCATTGACAAAGCCGCAGTCCGCGAAAAAACATGTCTATAAGAATATTATTCATGGAATGAATTCTCAAATTTATTAGACTTTTTAATGTCGGGCTCAATGGTTAACGGTATTGTTTGAATAAATTATTAGTTCTGTTAACTGTTTGTCTGTCTGCTCGATAACTTTTTAAAAAGTAATAATTGAACAACGGTTAAAGCTGAGCTGCTTATAGAGACAACTGATGCATTATTAATGAAGTTTTGATTACATTCGATTTATGAAATGAATTCCGTTGAAAACATAAACGAGTTTTTATGTTCTTCGCCCAAAAATCGGTCATTCATAAAAACACGGACAGGAAAATTATTTAGATAAGATCTTCCGAAGGCTTTTAAAGCTTCAAAAACAAAAAAAAAAGAGGACATGACTCAATTATCTAATTTAGATGTAGATATAATGTTGAAAAAGTTTGTCTACCCCAGATAAACCTTTCTAAACGGCGTTTTACCGCGTTAACACGTCATGAATACGTATGTAAATGTAACGGCGTCGGGTAGTATTAACACGTCTCCAGTTCTGCTACGTCCTCTCTGCGGTCGGAAGCATTTTCGTTTTCAATACTATTTTGAGTCGTCGGTGAAACGCCCCCCACTTCTCCGTCTGCATTCGATCAAACGTAGCCCTGTATACGGTATACAAAACCTGTTTACACGGACTGGCCGCATACATAGATGCGGAATGTTTTCTTTTTTGTTCCTTATTTAAATGGAATACTTCTTACAACGACATTGAAATATTCTATTCTGTCAAAAAAAATACTAAATGAGTCGACCATTTACCGTGAATCAAAGCATGTTATATGACTATGTTCAATATTGTGTTCTTATACTTTCTTAAAATTAGGATAACTATACTTTGCAATTCATGTAATCATCGTTTATGTGTGTACACTGCCATTTCTCTTTTGTGATTTAACGAGCTATACATATAGGATACTAGATGGTGCCCACGACTTAGTACTCTCGACTAGCTTATTCTCTTTTCCAAGATCGTATCTATCTTTATACCAAAATTCATCAAAATTGGTTCTGCGGTTTAGTCGTGAAGGCGTTACAGACAGTAACTTTAAGAGACCCTTGTATATTTATAAATTACAGTTTGTTAATCTGGTGTATAATCTGTTTTATTGTACAGTTTCATTAAAATACATAATATCCACACATAAAAACTTTTCGCTTTTATAATATTGGTAAGGATGGGTGGTTGTATCTGCTTTTACAGAGATATGTAATATAAATCTATTCAATTATCTATCAATTTCCAGTTCCATGTAAAACTATTGTAGTAAGATATAGCAAATTCATATGGCTCTAAATTTTTAAATAAAAATTAATGTTTAGGCATGTGTCAAAATATTCTGGTAATAATTTAACGGTGGTAGAGCCACGCAGCAGCCTCGGCTGTTGCACGAATGGGCACTCTCGTCCGGGTAAGTACTACGACCTCACTGAAGACCGGCGTAAAGTGGAAGTGTAATACTTTCGCGTTTCGTCTGGTGAGTGAGGTAGCCGGAGCCCAATTTTCAAAAGGTTGTCAACGCATCAGTAACCCTCGGGTGTAGCAGATGTCCATGGGCGGCGGTATTCACTTAAAATCAGGTGAACCGTCTGCTCGTTTGGCAACTTTTCACATAAAAAAAATTCTTATAGCGGTGACGCCAAATGCTAATAAAGTAAGTAATGCTAATAAAACTAATAACTCTTATTGAAGTAGTATTATTGGGTGTGAAATAGCTAGAATCGCAAACGCAATATGCTTAATTATGTATGTAAGTCACGAAATGATCTTTGTGGATAGGTTAAGGTTTATTATTTTTTTTTAAGTAGATACTTGTAATATCTTTTATTTAAAATTCAATTATGTAAGTAAGTCACGAAAAGAACTTTTTCAATAGGTTAAGGTTTATTAATTTTTGTTTTAAGTAGGTACTTGTAATGTAGGTATTTGTAATATCTTTTATTTGAATAAACAAAAATTTTCGCCGCTCTGGATTTGAACCTGCGTTTTCCGGTTTTGTCGATATTTATCAGTCTTAGACGTATGAGGTCGTCATAACAGCTTATCGTATGGTTATGCGAGTCTTAATTTGTAACACGGCCGGCTTCAAGTTTGTTACCGTGGCATTAAACGGGTGATAATGAGGCCGCTTTCGAGGGAAAGCAATTCGCAACCTTGTTGTAATGAGATAGAGTCCAATTTTAAGTCCCGTTACGCTAACGTGGGTAGATAAATATTTTAATTACACCTCCGATTACAAGCCCTCGTTATAATTTAATGCAATTTTTACCACATGCAATATTCTTTTGAGTAGCGCAGTTTTTGTACGTCTGTACGTTTGTACGTTCTCACCGGTTCCTCATTAATTTCGCATACGTGTCAGTTCTATTCAGTTAAGAATCTTAACTGAGTAGAAGTCGAATGCTTAACAATGAAAGCAAACGTTTTTCATGCTTATGTAACTTCATTATTTTGCAAACATAATTTCTGGATGTTTCGAAGATCACGTTAAATGCGAAAGTCGGGGTCGGCAAAAACTTTGTTAACGGCGGTATTGGCTAGGTTTTTTTTTAATATCGGTAGCCAGCTACACCTCAACCTTCCTTGAGAACAAACACACAGAACTGGAACAATAATAACTACACATTATTTTCCTGTGTGAATATCAAACCAAATGCTTGAATTTATTTAGTCATAATTATTTCTATTATAACATGTCTCAACACTTGGGAGGAACACTGACTCTTTTTATCAATAAACTCTCATCCCGACTCGACCTCGACCCGGTCGCTACTCAAACTGACCTTTCGGTTAATGTAAAGTAAGAAGCAATGTTACAACTCTGTAATCAAATCACGGAAAACAATACTTTAACTCGTCTATTGTTATTATAATTAAATTATGTTGCAATTCCCATCGTGACGATTTATTAACAAATCTCATGAGTATATTAAAGCCAAATCCCAACTAGTTTAAGCCACTTTTGTGTTATAAACTAGAACTTTTATTCTACAGTGGTTCTCACCGCTTCCTGTAAATGATTCAAATAGTCAAGGGAGTCGTAGTAAGCATACCGGTTCCAACTCCACGACGCCAACCCTAAAAGCACAACTGTACATGCGTGGCCGTACTCTTGAGGTGTTACCAAACCCGTAAGGACTACAGCCTTTATGGGCTTTATCTTCCATATTATATTATTTTAATTTTATTACAAAATACATAAGAGCCGTGATAGCTCAGTGTCCGGGCGCTCGCCTTTAATCAAATTTTCTTGATCAACCTGAGTTCGATCCCTGGTGCCAGCAACAAGGAAATTGTTAATTTTAAGTGCTGAATCACGTGCTCAGCGGTGAAGGAAAACATCGTGAGGCAACCTGCATATTTTGGAAATAATAACAAAAAAAATGTTTTGAAAATATGTGAAGTCCGCCAATCCTTAGTGCCTATGCCCTGATACCCTCTTTACAGACGAGGACTTTGCCCAGCAGTGGAGCAGTTATAGGCTGTTACTGTAACATCTTACGTGACTATTTGGCAAGCTAGCAGGCATGATACAGGCACCGTAGGGGTTTGCTGTTGCGTTGTCATTTTAAAAAAGTCGGTCCTGTTCCAGACCAGAATATGGATGTATATCACTTTTCCTTCGGTCTTCTCTGTGGCAGTGGTGCATATCCCGACAAGACTGCACATTCCTGCAACAAAAGAAGACGCTGCGTGGCCCTGCCACAGACTTTAAGACCGACGGCTATAATATCGTTCAATGAACAAGTGACTATAATTGTTGACGTCGAATCCGTGTTAGTTAAGCTTTATTAAGTATGCACTAGAACTTTCGTTTAAAACACGTTTCGATTGTGACCTCATCAACGGTGACCACACCTTCGAGAAATCTTGGCGTGACTAACGTCTCGTTCACGATAAAGGCAGATCTCGGATTCGACGAACAGGCGGACCTTTAAAGCGGTTTCCCGTCGTCGTTTTCGTTCGTCGAACAACAAAGAAACGACTGAAATTATCTTGTAAAGTTGTAATGGCCCCTTTATGACGAATGTGTGAGCTTTAAAGCGGGCGCAGATGTGGAACTGAGGTTGGGTAGAACCCCAATGGATGGGGTCAGATATATGTAACTAAATTTCTCTACATTATTTCTCATTGGTGTTTTTTATTGGTACGCAATAACTTCGACGGTTCTTCATCAAATTTAATGATTCAAATACCGTTTTAAATCTTATCTTTACTATTGACAGAAATAAGTAGAATAAAGTTAATCATCTATTTGCAGTCTCTCTAAATTAATGATCGCGGAGAAGACTGAAAAATGTTATTCTTCAAAATAAGATACTTTTCATTCATAAATATTTATTTTAAAACATTACATAACCATTCCGTGTCTGATCTATACTACTACCGTATGAAAATGTCGTACAGGTCAGCTAGCATAAATCTTATCTTACCAAACGAACAAATTGTAGTTCTAATTTTGAAAATAACAAAACTTTTTTTACTACATCTCACAGTCAAATAAACTTGTTAGGTTTTCCACGTAATAGAATCGTGAGATTGATTACGTGAAGTTGGAGGGACCGTTTCACGAGGCAAAGGTTTTTTACTCGTTGAGCGTTATGACTTTTCGGGTCTGCTACTTCGGGACGAGTTCGCTAATTGCTAACGGCCGCGGTGGGCGGCGGGCGGATTGTTTTGTAAATAAATTCGTTTCGGCTCCGTTCGGAATTACTTACGACAGCGCCGAAAGCGAACATTCCACGAATAGCCAGTTACGTGAACCCTCAAAACTCCTGCTGTACTCCGTGCAGGCTCGCGTGCCAGTTCCGAGGTGCGCGTTGGTCCACGAAACTATCGATAGCTTCAAGACGGTGGAAGCTAAATAAATGGGAAATTTTGTATCAACAGTCTTTCAAGACTACATACGCTTGATATTTAAAAAAAAAAATCCTTATCTGAAATGAGTTTTAATAATCTACTATAATAATACATGCGCCTGGTTTCTATGCAGTCATTATTGCATTAATTTCAACCTTTGCTACAGATTTTGTGACCTTACACCCTTGTCGATTGGCACTTTTAAAGCTTATCAAGAAGCGTAAAGAGCACATGCCTCTAAGTTCAACATTCCATGAGTAATTCATCTGCGCTTTAAAAGAAAAGTTAAATTTCGCGGAACGCGTACCAAGAATCGCGTACCGAGAATAATTGGTGATTGCATCGCCTCCGTACCGCCAACAGATTTATTACTCGATTTAACAGTTTCGACGGGCGTCAATAATTTTTAATGGGTTCTATTAGAATTTTTAGCGAGCCGGATTATGACTTATTTGGTGTCATGCTCGAACCGTTACAAGAGATTATACTGAAGCCGTTTCAAGAAAGGAACTTTCATTTCTTACACGTCAATTAAAACAATTGTTCTAATGGAATTTGGGAAATAGACATTCAACAAAATTTTATGGATACTTAATTGAGAAGAATACAAATGCACTGCTATTTATATTACATGATTGTATTGCGTTTGGCTTTATATATGCTGACGCGGCTCCTTTACTGAATAGATTATTATAGAAAAATATATAATATACAATAATAATAAATATCAGAGCTTGTATGACCGGATAATTCTGCTGATTAAGTCAAGTTGTGACAAGCATTTCGTTATACCATGTCATTCAGTTCATTTCTGACGCTGCTGAAAATTATAAAGAGAATGATGATGATGGTCAGGGTATATTCTCCTTAAGTTTGGAACTAGAACCACAACCCATGTGGTTGTAGTACCGGCAGACAGTGCATATTTACCCCGTCCCAAAACAGCTTAGTTTCTTTTTCTTTTAAAAAAAAAACATTGCCCTTACTTTAGGATAACATTATCCTGTTTTGTAAGGACGTTTTACAAATTTCACACGGACAAACACCCAGATGCGAAACGACTATCTGTGGGTCACACAAATAGTTGTCTCGTGTGGGAATCGAACCCACGACCCCAGACCGAAGCCGATACCTTGGCGACTGCGCCACGGAGTCATCTAAACCAGCTATAGATGTTTCTAGCTTTTTTATACATAGCTTTCTTTATATTAATTCACACACCTATGTATAAACGTATCAAAGGGCGTCACGCGAGTTCAATGCTTTTGGCATCCTAAAAGTGGCCGAAGGTTTTCAATTTAAAAAGAAACAGCCATCTTTATTGCCCCTCTTCTGTAGTACGGACCTCAGCTCATTGCGACCTCGTTTCGACACAGCCCGATGCGAGATTTCGAAGAATTGGCATGTCGCGAATGGAAGACCATTCCATTCGTGTTTCGTTTTATGTTGCAACCTTCGAAACGAATTGGGGACTTCTCGGAGACGATTAATTTAATTTGACGAATTTAATATAAAATATCTTTAATTTTTAAATGTTGGAGACATCAGACCATAATTTATCGTGTATATTATGCGAATCTTAACAATTATCTCCCAACTCGTACTGTCACTTATTTTTAATTTATATGGTGCTAAACGATGGTAAATGGTAGGAGCATGCTTACAAGTTCGCTTGTAAACATGATTGCGGAGAATTTAATTATTATTTACGAATTTACTTCGACGCTAACTATTCATTTTTAGAGACTACTAAGACTCCGCTGTCACCAGGCTGTACTTCATCAACCGTGACAGTTAGACAGTTAAATTTTTTACAGATGATGTATTTCTGTTGCTGCTTTAACAATAAATACTAGAAAACAGTATAAAATAATACTTAAGTGCGGCTCCCATACAACAGACATGATTTTTTGCCGATTTTTAGATAAACAGGATTGGACACGTGAACTCACATTTAAAACAAGTAATACTTATTTAGAATAAAAGCAGTCACGTATCTTAAAGACCTTGAGATTAAATTGATGATTAAGCCAATTAGCGATATGAACTATTGCAAATCGACACTTTAAACGCTTCCGTGGAATTGAAATTAATTGGAAATAACTTATCTAACAGACGACATAATAGGCTTATGGTAAATCGAAAAAAGATACAACAATAGAGGGAGAAGCAGATAACATTATGTTGAATAATAATAACGAATCAATTTGAAAGCATCGTTGAAAATGAACGATAATTTATTGTTTAGTCTTCTCGAAATTTTTGTTGATTATGTAAAGGTGGAATGGAAACATCAATCAATTAGCAAAAAATATTAGCATTCTGTACTCCTCTATATCTTTATATATAATATATTCTTCCGTACATGTGTCTGTGTATGTCACTGAACTCGTAAACGGCTGGACCGAGATTCGAGAATGGTTTAGATTAACAATTCGGCCCACTATATTTTTTTATTTATAAGTTTTTGTCGGATATAAGTCGTGTTTACAGGACAACGTCTGTCCGGTCCGCTAGTAAACTATAAGTGTGGGAAATTTCATACTCCCGCGTCCGCGCAATTTTCGTAAAATATTCGGGGTATAAAGTTTTTACTTCACGTATTAATATATTATTGTATATAGAAAATAGAATAAGATTTTATGATTCCGTGGCGCATTTGCCAAGGTATTGGCTTCGGCGTCGAGTTCGTTGGTTCGATTCCCACACGGAACAATTGTTTCTGTGACCCACACATAGTTGTGACCACACACTGTTTCGCATCTGAGTGTTTGTCCAAGTGAAATTTATGTTTTTAAAACGTCCTTACAACATAGGATAAAGTTATCCTAAAGTAAGGGCAATGTTTTTAAAAGAAGTAAGTAAGTAAGAAGATAATAAATACCCCCGTACCCCGTGCCGCGCTCGTTAACATAATTACGAGTTACGACATACCCGTCGCTTCACATCGCGTCGTTTTAATTATCGTGGCCTAGAACCCTCTCCTGCAGCGCCCACGCTCCGCACAGACACCCTAATAATTTCGAAATCAACGAGAGTTCAGTAAATTCGCGCCTTCTTTTACGAGATATCTTAACTTGATATCTAATGAACTTATGACAGCGTAAAAATATGTTGTCCTTCTATAGTTTGCATTTTTTATTTCACTTTTAAAATTTATTTTTTTATAGTGCTTCACCTTCCCGTTGAATAACCTTAAAATTTACTTTCAATTCATCCTTTGTATAATATTATTGAGATTACTTCACGTGGAACGGTCGCGTGGCAGTAGATGCAATAATTTATCTGTCCCGTACCTAACATGTGTTGTCACGCTTACATAACCACTATTCATTTATCATCATTCATATATTTTTACCACGGCTACCAATCATTTATATAATTATCTCGTTAACAATGAAACCGCTCGCATATAAATATGTTACACGGTTGAATCAGTCGTATTATTATATGAGCAGGGTGCAATTAATTACACATCACACGGCACCGCCATGTTTGTTTGTGTATTTCGCGACCGGTTCAACCACCGTTGCGTTGTTTACGGCGCGAATTTCCTAGAACAACATATTATGGCGCGAAACCATACTGGCACCAAGGATGCTGTCTATGGTCGTATAGAATAACAACCACCATTGTCTTTTATTGTTATGATCGCGATTGCGTCATGGCCGAATGAAACGAACCGTAATGATACCACTTCGTTTTATTTAATTGAAGTAAAACTTTAGGCGCGACTAGGGAGTAACTGAAATTTTTTCTGACGGAAGTAACGCCATAAGTATATGTTATATTTTTAAAATATGACATATACTTATGACGTTACTAAATATTTAATCATTTCTATGATATATGCCGTCAACGCCAAAGAAGTTTTACTTCAATCGCGCGTAAAGGTTACACGCACACAATATTAGATTAAAGTAAAAGAATCAGTAATAATATGCCACAGATATGTAAAGGCCTGCTTTGTGGACATAGTATCAAATTTAACAGAATGTTTTACTTCGGTACATAAATCAGCGCGTAAAATAACAATTAGCGATTTAATTGGTATCACGTCAGCATTTGTATTCCCGGTTCCCTAACATATCGAATAAAAGCAAGCGACCGGACACAGCTCCGAAGCTATCTCCAAAAGCTAATAATAAAAAAATTAAAATAACACAAATATTACGCATTGTGAAAAATCATATGGTAAGTATATGATTTTTTTTATTTATATTTAATTTATTTATTAGTTTATGCGAATTAATTTAAATCGTTAATATGTAATAAAATCGAGTAACTAAGCGTATATCCGCACGACCTGTGGTCGTCTTACATCACTCCACGCACATTTAGGCCACTTTCCAGCACGCGCCGGCGTATAGCGGCCTCAGAAAACGTCGGAACGGATTCCGCGAATGTGTTTACTCTGCGAGACTCCTTCTCCCCGTCGATTTAAGAAGTACCGAGAACAACGGTATCTCGATGCAAAATTGAAATCGGAGTGCGCCATGTTCCGCGAACCGCGGCGACCTCCTGAAGTGCCTCCGTCAGTTGACATTCGAAATTACAAATAACTGTGAATACGAATACGAGAAACCGATACGTGGTCTATTTGTAGCAGTTAGTTGAAACGTCCAAAGCAATCAATAGCTCGCATTTGTATTATTCGGTGTATAATATCTATCTGCCATGTACAAAAACATGTTAAAAGTACTGACACTTATCAGTCAAATTTACCTATCTCTCACCGTATAATATATTAAAATATCAAATAATCAAAACGTTCCCGCATTATACATAGAGATTCGTGAAATGAGGACGATCATATAACCGAACGCAATAATAATACAAGAATCTTAGTTATACGCAGCTGCGTAAGTAGCACCAGTCCAAAAACACGCGGCAGATGTCCGCCTGTGAAAGCAGCGCGGGCGCAGGTAGGTACGGGATTCCGAGAACGCCAAATATAATCGCACTACGTGGAACACGCTCTCTATGGCCCGTTCGAAATTCGAATGTGGCTCCGACAATCGTGTGCCCGCGCGTTTACTCAGCGCAATAAGATTAATTTTTATCTTTAGGTAAAAATCGGTGATAATTCGGACTAAATGTAATTTTCCTTCTGATTACCCAATTACCTGCTACTGTTTTGTGATAATTATTATATGTCAAAGATTAAAAGATTTTAGTTTATTTAACTTGTAGCTTAAATTAAACACTATCCTCAAAAATATTTGAAACAAAAGCATACATAAAAAGTCTCCATTTATTCTATTTACAACAATAAACTACATATTTTTGAAAATGAACTAGGTACATTATGTATGAGGATATGAATTAGTTTAAAACGGATTCACAAAAGGATTGATTGATTACATTATAAATTATGGCAGATTACCGCTGAAACAATACAAGTATAACAATTAAGTCCGAAAAGCGTTCGTGACCGGCGCGTCAAGCGTCGCACGCATTTCAGTGAATCCCAAATTCGCCGAGTCGTGAGCGACTCTTATATTTCTTTTCACTACAAGGACTATTCTTTGTTGCGTTTTTGATTGATTTAAATTAGATTAATTAACACAAACAGACGATTTCGTGTTAATTAATTTAATTTAATTTTTTTTCAAATATGAAAGCATGAGGTTTAATACAGAAATTGATATAACAAAATCGGATAACAAAAATTGTATTGGTATACAATTTTTTATCCCATTGATCGATTTCTCTTTTCTCGACCTTTCCTTTTACTCTTACCTTTTCGAGGAGTTTTAAATTAAAATTTCTTGTTATTTATTCTCACGTAAGATCCCTAATGTTCAAATTAGCATATTTCCTGTTAATGATTAATTATCAGAAAGCAAGAATGAAGAATTAAGATACATATAATTCTTTCTTCTTTCTGGTCGTTTTCATCATGTCTGATGATCTTGGTTGGCGGTCGTCGTTCTAGCAGGAATGAGATCTCTCCATTGATTCCGGTCCATCGCGGTCCTAACCATATCGCAGAAATTCGGAGACGGTTCTGTGTCCTTGAGCTGGTCAGTCCATCGTGCTGGAGATCGGTCACGTGATCTTTTGTCTTCAGTGTTTCCAACAACGATCAATCTTTCCAAGCTTTCGTCTCCTGTTCTCATTATGTGGCCAAAGTAACTTAGGAACCGTTGCTCGCAGATTGTGGACGACAACTTCATCAAATCATTTCAGCCTGATAGAATCCACTGCTGAATAAATAGGCCTCCCCCACAGAGTAATAAGTTAATTATTTTAAATTATAGAGTACCAGTACTTTTGCCAACAATAGATACTAAAGATGTTGTCTATTTCAAAATTTGACATGGATTTTATTCATGTACCTAAGGTCGATTGAAATGAATTTTATATTGAAAAACAAAACTACTCGAATGAACATGTGGCGTTACGCGAAAAATTAAATGTAACATAACAATGTAATAAAGATAGGAAAACGACTCTTTATCGGTATTTGATGAATGAATACTACTTCTTGGAACATTTGAATTTCGTATTATGTACTCTATTCCGCAAGCCTCTCGAGGCCCCCTCTCCGATGCCACGCCGAACGACGCCGAAGTTTCTTAGTCTGTCAGTCCTCGACTCCTCGGCTTCGCTTTTTAGTTTCAGTTTGTGAGTTAGCGCGACGCGACGTCCAATTTCTAGCGGGCTCTTCACATAACTTACAATTCGTAATTTTAAACTACAACTATTACTACGGTTTATCTGTGGCTTCAACCTGATGGATTGTGTCAATTGTCATTAAAATGTCTATTGAAATTAAGCCGCGAAACTAAAATTATTCAAATGAATAGATTACTATTTTCACATAGTGTTTTCTAAGAAAGGAACAGATCGCTAGTTTTAGTGTAGGTGGATATTATCGTAATATTCCACCGACAAGTGAACGTCAGATGTGTTAATAAAGAGAGTGGCAACAGTTTGTCCTTTAAACATGACATTAGCTGCGAGGTTATCTCCCCAAAGTGAGTGAAATACTTTATTTATGAATATTTGGTTTCGCTAAACTGGTTAATTTATTAACATTGCATTAGTCGTAGGAAAGTAAAACGATCATATGCATATAATGATATAGTGTAACAATAGTTAATTTTCAGTTTTGAGGTATGTTTCTTAACATAGGTATTTTTTACTTTAAATTAGTTCTGACCTCTGTTACTGTAAACTGCTAGAAATATTTAATAAAAAAAATTTAAGTAGCGAATATTGTCCTAACTTATATGCTGATTGAATCTTAACAATTTTATGATCTATAGTAAAATATATATTGAAAACATTGGTTTAAACTTGTGACCTTAATATCGCAAATCACATCGTCAATCACATTTCATTATATCAATAAAAATAAAATCATTAAGCACACAAAATTTTTATAGTATGCTGGATATTTATTGAATTACTGTGATGTAGTATTATGTTTACACTATTATTATTAGTTGCTGTGTATTACAATCATATCTACGTCAAAGGCTTTTATCAGTAATGTTCATCTAAATATAGTTTGATAACAGAAACATATCTGATAATGTTTTAAGCCTTTTATGTTAGCTCCCCTTAGCCATTGTACAGACTGAAGATTATTATAGTTTCTGCAAATACTAAGGACCATATACTCATATAAAATAATAAATTTTACGGCAATTTTTCTATGCTGTATTGAATTAAATGTTTGAAATAGGCTTACAAGCATATAACTGTAAAAGAGTTTGTTTAACAAACTACTGCGTACTATTTGCAGTCATAAAAAGTACCATGCTGTTTTATAGTATGTTGAGCAGATAACACCTAGTGACTGGAATGTTATAATTGTAATCACAGGTCAAATTTCAGGGAGAATTATTGACCCGTGGATTGATTGTCGCAAATAACGTTTTGGAATAAGCTAAAGGCAAGAGTCCTGCAATTGATTTACGGTCCTTGGTTTAAGCTTACTTGAACACAAATCTCATTTCAGTTGTTTTTTTTTTCGCAGATGCATGTGTGGAAGTGGGGGTGCCCCTTAACAATTGGTCAACGGGTGTGGCATGCTGCCCAAACTGCAGACACGAGCTTCGTGTGTCGCTAGCAACGTGCAATGGGAAGAACCATGCAGTACATCCACAGACACCAGTCACTCCCATCACACCACCTTTCACAATCCACCCTTCGTACCTTCCACAATCACCATTATATGCAGCTCCATCATCACCATTAATACCTTCGCCATACAATGACGAATTAAGGCGACTAGCGGACACTTTAAGAGCACTGAGGCTCTCCGGGTGGTACTATGGAAACTTAGATTGGCAGGTCAGTAGCAACTATTAAAGTAATTTTTGTTTTTACCAAATATATACACTTTTCAGAACAACCAACACTATAAATGTTCACAATTCATGGCCTCTGAGTGAAATTATTTATTCACAGAACAACATTCATTACACATATATTTTTGTCTATTTTACACAGGCAATGACAGAAATTTTTATTTACAGGGTGCTCGTAGCTTATTAAAGGACGCTAGTGTGGGTGCCTTCGTTATAAGGGATTCAGGGGATAGAAATTTCATCTTCTCACTATCAGTTCAAACGGAAAGAGGCCCCACATCTGTGAGACTACATTTTGAGGAGGGCTTTTTTAGGTGAGACCTTTTATTTATACTTTGAATATAATATTAGTCAAGTTGTCTAGAATCTAGTATAAAAAAAAAGATTAAACCATCAACACACTAATTGCACACAACTTTTAAATATGTATTGTACATTATTATTAACTACAACTGAAATTATGACATATCTAAGCAATTTGATAAAATGAACGATACTTAATACCTAGTAAACTAATAACACCATATGGATTCATTGAACAAATTATTTAATAGACAGAGTTCCATTATTCACTTGTGCAACAAAAATTGAGTCAGTATTAGTCATTAACTAACTAGACATTATAAGAAACTCGAGGAGTGCTTACAAACATACCAGTAATTGAAGAGGTGCCTTCCATGTACCTATGTAGTATGCATTTCATGCAAGAAATTTTGCAAGAACTAAAGTATTTTAATATTCACTGGTTCACTTTAAAATATACAATATTATGCTCTTTATGTTTTTATATTTAGTGCTAATCTATATTCAAGATGAAATTAAGTAAGAGTTGAATATTTAAATTGTTGCTAAAAATTAAAAAAAAAATAGATAATAATAGACAAGTTTTTCCTGTGAGAATATCGATCGCTTCGTTCAAATTCTTGGCGCGTTATCCAAAAGAGGTTGGTTCAAAACCAGGCAGTGGCGAAAATTTTCCCAAATTTTTCTATTAAACTCACATTAATGACAGTTCCGTTTCGTGCTTTTATATTCCAAAGTCATCGTTTAGATATATAGTATCATGCATTAACAAGACTTATTGATTTGTTTCAGATTAGACTGTGATAGGCCGCTGGCGAGGTATATGCCGCGCTTCAGATGCGTTGTCGAGCTGGTGCAGCACTACACGCGCGTCGGCGACAGGGGTGCTGCCGGCACGGTGTGGGTCGACCGTGAGGGTTGCACACACTCGCCTGTATTACTCAGGACACCCCTACGAAAAACCCCACCTACGCTGCTACACGCCGCCCGGCTGGCTGTCCACAAAGCGCTCTCCAACCCCCTAAGGCCGAAAATTTGGTGCGCTCCCAAGCACAGGCTCTTACCTCTACCATCGACTCTCATAGACTACCTCGGCGAATATCCGTACTCGATCTAATATTGGGATCTGTGTTAGTTATTTATTAGTTGAATGCTTCGCATCCGTTTGTCGACGACTAGTGAAGATGTAATACCCGTTAAAACTCTAATCTATGCGCTAAACATAATGGTCGCGTTATTATTTTATATTTTCATAATAGTATTTCGTTGTGCAATCTTGAGGGAAGTGATGGTACATGTTATTTCATTATTTTCTAAGTTTTCTCATTACATGAATCCATATGAAATTTTAATGTGTAGTGGAATACAATTAACTCACTTTCCATAATTTAACTTATATGTTATTTGAATGTTCCCGTCACTTCTTCCAAGTAGGCATTTAAATATTTGTACAAATTTAGGTGCAGGATAGTCTACTTCTATGCATCTAGTACAGGATACTAGAGTAAAAAGGCTGGTTCCTTTAAATCAATACCTTTGTGTTATATATTGAACATAACATAACTATAATAGTTAAATTACAACATCTGTATTAATCATAAGTATTGAATAATGGGACTCAAATATGGTATTTAGTGAAAATGTTTATGCAATGTTTTTGTTAAGTAATTTCTGTGTCTGTATATAGAGATGTTTTAAATAATGCAAGACTGAATTTCTTGAGCCTCTTGTACCTAAAGTCCACTATTAATTTGGATACATATTTGCTGTATATAATATAACTGAGGGTGAAGCTACCTACAGCGCTTATAATGTTTTTTAGCCAATTGTTCACTAATGCCTAATCTTGTCCATAATCTTAAGAGATCATCACACTATTTTGTAGAGATATATTTTATTTATTTATTTCCTGACTAATACTTAGGATAATTGCTGAATGAATTATTATATTTTTTGTTCCTATCTAATTTCATATTAAGTTAGTATTAAATTGGTTGATGTCCCATAAAATCCAAACATTTGACAGTAATTCGTATTTATTTTGCCCTTACAAATTGGCAAGGTACTGATATGTTGATACTTTTTTGTATTGCATGCAAAATTCTATAATTTTGTGCCATTGTAAACATATTAGCTCTCCTGCAAGGATATTTTTACGAGATGAATGTGTTTTTGAGGCTGAAAAATGTAAATAGTTCTTGTTTTGTTTTCTTATTTATTACTTAATTATAATAAAAATAGCGGAATTAAAAAAATCATTGTGACAAATTTTACACCATATAATGGTTTTATCGGTTTAGGTAGAAATAGACAAGGTTTTGGCTAGTGATCTTCACTAATTTAGAATAAAACATGTACCTTGAATAATCTCAATTAGCATATTACTAGGCCTCACAATAATGTATTCTATTTTAGTAGCCAAAACTCACACTATTGTATACCTATTTAACTTGAGAAACAGATGTCAGCCTAGAAAAATGTGTTTTATTGGTGGAACATAACCATCAGTATAAGACTTATGAATAAATAATTTTTTACCACTCGAGGATAAAGCACCAATTAAATAAGTGTGACATAATAGAAAAAAATGTGTTTAGACATTGTAGAAGTAATATAAAAAGAACTGCAAGTAATTTATATACAAAAAAAAAACAAAATATACATACATTATGCCTTTAACACATTGTTTTATTGTTGATTTGAAATTCGCAAACGCTTTAGCATAAAGATAAAATTACAAAGATTTTTCGATAAAATTACAGCAGATAAAATTACAAAGATTTTTCGAAATCCTTGAAAATTCTTAATTCGAATTTTCGTCGTCATAGATAAATCGTCGGTGTGATATGCCGTTTCGCGCAGTGGCTAGTGCGTCGGGTGCGTATCCCGTAGGACGCAAGTTCAAATCGTCTTAAAAGTCCGTTACAATTTTCTCCAAATTTAAATTTCATCTGAAGTACAGAACACGTTATTATCATTTAAATTTTACAGATACATACTTCGCAGGCATAGTTCTGACATTAGACCTGATCTTTGCAAAAACATACCTTGTATGATAACGATCAACCAGTATTTTTTTGATTAATCAGTCATTATTAGATGGCACATCGACCTGATGACATTTCTTCCGCAGTTATTTATATACGAATGCTATGAAGCATGCACTGTGTTCGTCAACAGCCAACTGAAAGTATTATACTTTCGCGATTCGTCTGGTGAGTGAGACAACCAGGGCCCATTTGTTAATAGTTATTGGTAACGCACCTGCAATCCGCCAAATCTATATAGGTTCTTAATAAGTAAAGTAAAGTAAAAGCTGTAGGCCTCTATACAATGGGTATATTAGGGCATAGTCTACCAGGCGGCCGCACTGCGGATTGGCAGACCTCACAAATATCGTCGAAATATTTTTTTTTTTATTGCAAATAAATGTGCAGGTTTCCTCATGATCTTTTCCTTCACGTTGAGCACGAGATAAGACGGCACTTAAAATGAACAATTCATTGGTGTCGGCACCGGGGATTGATCTTAGGTTGCTTGAGTATAGGTATCGAATTAATAGCGAGCGCCCGGTCAATGACCGGAATGAATCGTAAGGATCAGGGCCACATTGAGAGGTCTGATGAGTCTACCTATTCGTACAACAGCAGAAGTTGCTGTGTGGACCGTACCACAGCAAGGCCCTGCTTTCATATTTCGGGCCAACTGGCAGTAAACGGCGTGCGTTAGCTCAAAATCTTCTACTAGGACGACACATGCATTTTGTCGGTTTTCCGATATGCATATTTTTTACATGTAGTTGATGTAAATTCTTCATCTTAATTGGGCCCGGTTTTTTGTCAACAGTCGTGGGTCAGGGTGAAGGTTAAAGCGCCAGCACTCGACAATTTTTTTCGTTCTGATCATAGAGGCCGAGGGCTGCTATCAATCGCAAAATTTTTTTTCTTCATTTTTGGCAAGAGGTAATAATCACTCGAAGCCAGGTCTGGAGTATTGGTGGCTCAATAAAAATATCGAAGCCCCCCCTTGTGTAGGACAGACTGTGGAACACGGCTCTTATAGTCTAAGAGCTAACAACGTTTTCGAGAGAGAATTTCAGGTAGGCAAATTTTTAGATATTCTATCGCTTTCACTCTCTCGGACGTCATAGTCAGATGAAGCTTTAATAGTCTCGGGACTGAAAGCAAAAACATCAGTTAATACAAGATACAAGGACGTCATACGGGCTATCTGGCTGGCGGTAGAGGTTGCGTTTAGTTCATACTGCATGAAGTTTCGCTTAGGTTTAAAATGACGAAGCCAAGTTTCATATCCAGTAACAATTTGGTTCAGTACTACTACAACGATTTTGGTCGGAAGGACTTTATCGAACTTCTGGCTCAACTTACAAGCCAGTACTGTACCAGCCATTAAAATTAAGTTTATCTTTCAAGTTTAAAAGGTTCCTACTATTATCGTTGAGCTGGACGTTCGAATTCGTGTTTGCAATTAAGGTCACTAGCAATTAATACAGGTGTATCCAGGTTTAAAAATGACTCCTAAGTCATATTTTAATAGGAGAGAAATAGAAATAAATTAGTACAAGTGGTTTGTAAGCGGTGACCGCTATCCTACAGGGAATGCTTCTCCCTGAGGTTAATTCAACATGTATGTGATATAGTTCATATATATATCATCATAAACGGGCTAGATTTTATAACAATGCAGTTTTATCATTTGAGTCCTATATGCTTGACAATGGCACTGAACCATATTAAGTAAAATTAAAATTGAAACAAAACAGAAACAAAAATTGAAAAACTAAAATCTTCTGTGGCACCAGTTGTCTACGCTCATTAAAGTTAATTGTGTTTAATAATCTGCAAAAGGGAAAATGACATTAAAACTGTTGATGAATTGCCTTTAAGGAAAAATTCGAAGAAGTTAAGAATTTATTACTCACAAACTATACCTACTTACACGAATTAAACCTTAATTATGCTATACAGGCAAAAGTTATTGAACATAGTTCGCTGGGTTTAAACAGTTGCAATAACTCATTATGATTTAAACATGTACAATCTTTATTGATCTAATATTTACAAAATTAAATCTATCTAAAATTACATATCTTAAGAGCATAATTAACGTTCAATTCTAGACTTCTGCTGAATTACCGCTTGTAACAATGTGATTCATTTACACTAAAAAAAAAAACGTTACAAGATAAAAAATATAAAATATGATAAACATACACCTGACACACATTTTGATTATAACGTTTTATTAAGTAAAACTTCAATAATAAAATTACCTAAGATATAATTATTATTTATAACGTATTGTTAGATATAATAAATAATATATAAAGTATTGTTATTACTCAATCAAAAATTTTTTTGCAAATTGGAAATTGTTGAGTATTTGACAAATTGACACTTCCAAACTAGATATTAATTATCTATAACTATTTGACAGCTTCTTGTTATTGATTTTATTTAGATGTAGGATTCGTTCAATAACAGAATAATGCGAAAATAATTAATACTACTAACTGCAGTGATAGACATTAAATAATTTCGTTTACAGAAAGCCATGTCAGCAAATGGAAATGGCGCTAATTATGCACCTTTGAAACAAACTTTTTCCGATTCTGAATCTGAGGACGAACACAAATTGGAAAATGCTGTGCACATTCGGGCCACTGATAGTTGTAACAATTTGGATTACAACAGTGGATTACAATCTTCCAAGAACTATAGCATAAGCGATATGGATGACCTAAATACAAACGTAAACACATTGGAGAGTACAATGGATAACGTAAGTTTTTTGCAGTCTGACGGTTCCAATAAGATGTCTTTATCTCGTCGATGCGCTTTCGTCGCGTCTATATTTATGTGCGTTTTCACCGTGGTTATATTTTTATGGGGTATACCTTGCTCTGATGTAGGAAGTTGTCCAAATGAGTGGCATGACAAGACAACGAGTTGGGAGCTACCATACTATGACTTGGAGCTTTCTGGAGCAATTCAAGTTGTGAATGGTGCTATACCCAATACCAAAAATTTAATATTTATTTATAGGGGCAATCACATGAAACTTGAGGGATCTAGTAATAGCGATAATGTTAAT